TTAAACGTGGATTGATCAGGCTCGTGGAAAATGCGAGCTTTCGCGAGCTTGAGAGAAAAGGGCGATAAGCTTGGTCTAAACTTGCGAGACGAAAAAGGCGATGGCTCTTCTTGAATAAATTCAGCGCAATAAAAATGTAATAAACCTGACTTTATTCTGCCTCGTCGAATTTTGGCTTTCTCTGCTTCACCCATGAGCTTGAATTTGCATTTATTGGCACTTCAGAAAATAAATAAGTTACTTTCAACAATCTGTTGCAATGTTTAGAAAATTGCAAAACTTGGAAAGCTTCTTTCATTGCTTAACTGATTAATTCTGAATTCTAAGCTTGGCAAAATTGAAACAATTTTGAAACAAAATTTGATAATATATTATATTAAAAAATATAAAGGAATAAAGTGTCAAATGCGATATAATGTAAAAAATTGACAACAAGTTAAAATTTCTTATAAAATAGATAAAAATTGTAGCGAGTTAAACTGATATAAAAATATAACTTACATGAAACTCTTAAGAAGTTAAAAATATATATTTTTAGCTGTCAATTATAAATAAGATTAATCGCAAAATTATAGAGAAGAATAATACTTTGAAATACATTGCCAAGCTTAGGAGCGAGAGTTTACTTGCCATGTCGCTGCGAAATTCTTTGGAGTGCAGCAGTAATAAAGGGTTAACCAACTTAACGAAGCCTTCGCCTTGCGGCGTGCATACGCGTCGCGCCGTCAGCGACGAAAATAAGCAATACGAAACGTGCAATGTCCGAGCGCGCGAGGAGCGAGCGAGGAGCTCGCAGCCAGCGCGAGATTTGGCAGCGCGAGGAGAAGCTAGCTCGGAGTCCGCACGAGTCTCTCGGCGAAACCGCCCTGCGTCTCGTCTCGCTTCGCCTCGCTTGCGCGCGTGGAACAACGATAAATCGCGTTTGTTGCACCGAGAGAGCAGCCTTCTCGAATTTCGAGCGAACGCGCGAACCTGCCGGTGGTTAACTCCGGCGGCACAGCTAGTAGCTTCCGCACCATTGCGCTTTCCGCACACATACATAAAAAAAAAACACTCACGCATGCATGCACTTCTCTTTCTAATCTCGAGCCAACAACACCTGAAACCCTCCGATGCGATTCTCTCACGCAAACCACGTCGTCTCGCCGACAGTCGCATTCCATTCCTGTGCGCTCTCTCGCATCCGTCCCGCCGTCGCCGCACGTACGTGGAAAGTAAGCGTCGCGCACCGGATGATGCACTCGGGAAGAGAAAGAGAGAGAAAGGCGAGGGAATCCGTGACGCATCAGACGCGCGACCCGGTCACCAGGGAGCAAACTTGAGTGAAAAGACGAAAGGATGGAGAGAGAGAGAGAGAGAGAGAGAGAGAGAGAGAAGAAGAGAGAGAAGGAAG